TGGGGCTAAATGTTAAAAGCCAAACTGAGCCCTTACTAATGGTCTTGCTGTTTCTAAGAAGAAGACAGTCAAGAGAGAAAGAAAACCAGCAAAGCTTTTTTCAGAGCTGTCCATTCAGTGCAAATGGCCATGGATTAGCAGTCAGACTCCATGGAAGATTAATGGCCAGGCTTGTAGCAGGCTAATTTAGAACAATAACGGCCAATTAATTACGTATAATAAGGCTTTCTTGCCTAAATGCAAATGCTGGCATTGGTGTGGAAGTTGCAAGTTGTTTCCCGTTTCCCCAGTGGTGTGTTTGACTTTCTGTCTGTTGTGTTCCTTTGATAAATTAAGGTGCATTTTGTTGTGCTACAGATTATGTGTGTGCAGATGCTGTGCACTGTCTGCTGGTAGTTGCAGTCCTCTAACACAAATGACATTTTTCTTTTCATATTTTTTTGCTAGTGATACTTGTAATTGCTCTGATGATATTTTTAACCATCCATCCATCCATCCATCCATCCATCCATCCATCCATCCATCCATCCATCCATCCATCCATCCATCCATCCATCCATCCATCCATCCATTTGTGCATTTGTGCATGCATATATACATATAGCCATACATGCATGCATCAATCCACACATGTATTCATATATGCATGCATGCATCCAACATAGGCTCATTCTGAAAATGTAGCCCTTTTAATTACTGGAGATTGTGAATTATATAGCTGGAAGTACGCATGGCTGTATTTTGTCCCTAAAACGAACGCTATGGAGCAGCATGATGCTGTTTCTTTTTGTGCTTACCAGTTGAGCACTTACTTCCGTATAGACTGCTTTCCCGCTGTTACCAGTTTACCTGGTAGCTTGCCATGTATGTCGGTGAACTTGAGACGCAGAGAGGAGTTGACCACGATGAAGGGGTTCGAATCCGGCACAGAATAGTTTTAAAAAAAGCATGTAAGACAAAAACAGAAGTCAAAATATAAAAAAGTAAATAACAGAGTGAGACTGTGATAAAATCTGAAAACATGGTAAAAATCAGACGAGGGCTTTTCTTTTTTTTTGCTTTTTAAAACTGTCAGTTGGGTTTAGGGAAGTGGGTGGGTGGGTCAGTCTGTGCTTTTGAAAAAACAAACAAAAAACTATTGGTTGAGTTTAGGGAAAGAGAAGAGGGTGGGTCAGTCAATCAGTCAGTTAGTGGACAGCGGTCTCTGGTGGATTTACGTTAGAACTGCAGGCACAATTGGCACTCATGAGAGAAATTTGGGATCTCAAAATGCATACACAACAGCCTCTGGTGGATTTGTGAAAACAGAAACTACAAAAAAAAAAAAAAAACATACCTGGGACATATGTGGCGCTCTTCAGAAATGTATATAGTGGTATGTTTTCAGAATGAGCCTGGGTTGCATACATACATACATACATACATACATACAAACAAACATGCGTACATACTTACAAGCATGCATGCGTACATACATACATACATGCATGCATACATACATACATACATACAAACAAACATGCATGCATACATACATACATACATGCATACATACATACAAACAAACATGCATGCATACATAAATGGTGTCTGTCATTAACAATTAACAGCAGCTGTATGAAGCCCGATCTTGTTATTTTCTGTTAGCTGGCACACAGGTGTTGTAAGCAGAGAGCACAGAATTTTGTGGAAATTCAATGCTAAACTTTCTGCTTTGTGGAAATGCAAATCACAGTGCAATGCATAAGACATTGTGTAATGAACACAGCAATGCTGCTGTAGGTGCTTTCTGTGTTTTTTTTTCTGTGGAGCTAGTTGTGTTGACAGAGCTTGGCAATTCAAAGTCAAAGGAAAACTTGTCAAAGTTTATACATGAGTGTGAAACAACACATGGCATTTGTATATATTTGAGCACAACTGTGGTCAGAGTGGTGTTAATGTGCAGTTTATTTTGAATCAGCAACAATTCTGTCATCCTATTAATCCCGTTAGTTTGAATTTAAGCTTGAGTTTACCGTTTAATTTCCTCTAATTTCAGCATCGCAGAGATGCTGATAATCATGTGTACCACACTATAATAGTTTTAAATAGGAAAATTCAAGTATAGGATTAGAACGGTACTCTAAAGCATATTAAATTTTAAAAAGCTTGATTCCAAGCTTGTTTTCCATGGAGCGCAAAATTACCCATTATGCTTTGCATGTTTGTGTAAGGAGGATGCTTGGAACGTCTCATCAGCAGCTTTATGCATATAAGGAGTCACATGTGGACAGCTTTGAAACAATAGTTTTAATCTATTTTACTTGCATTTATTATCTTTGAACTAATCCTGCTGTTGATCATTGTCACCTCCTGTACTGATTATTTAAAAATTGTGATCTAATGGGAATGAAAAACAACCACTGCAAATCATTTACTCTACACTAAAGTGATCATTTTCTTTCTTTTTTTTCCAAATATACAGTTGAAGTCAAAATTACTAGCCACCCTTTCAATTTTTTTATTTTATTTTATTTTTTTATATTTTTGAAGTGATGTTTAACAGAGCAAGTTATGTCTGATAATATTTTTTAATATTTTAATAAGTCTTATTTGTTTTATTTTGGCTAGAATAAAAACAGTTTTGGAAAAAAAAAAACATTTTAAGGTCATGATTATCAGCCACTTTAAGCTATATATATCTATCTATATATATATATATATATATATATATATATATATATATATATATATATATATATATATATATATATATATATATATATATATAAATATTGGTTTTTGATTGTCTACAAAACAATTACAATAACTTGCCTATTTACCCTAACCTGCCTAGTTAACCTAATTAACCTAGTTAAGCTTTTAAATGTCACTTTTAAGCTGTATACAAGTGTCTTGAAAAATATCTAATCAAACATTATTTACTGTCATCATGGTAAAGATAAAATAAATATGTTAATAGAAATGAGTTATTAAACCTATTATGTTTAGAAATGTGTTGAAAAAAATCTTCTCTCTGTTTAACAAAAATTGGGGAAAAAATAAACATGGGGCTAATAATTTAGGGGGCTAATAATTCTGACTTTAACTGTATAACCAACCCAAACAAAATTCGCCATATTGTTTGTCCCACTAGCACATTGATTGAAAGAGTGGCACAAAGTGAAAGTAAAGTGGCAATTTTGAAATGACAGAAAAACACGTGGTAATAAATTGTAAACAATACAAACTAACTAAATGAAACATAAACTGCTCCCAATTAGAATCAACATGCAAATTAGTGTTTTTATTCATTTTTTTTAAAAAATCGCATGTCTTTATGTTGCATACCTGTTAATATGGTTTGCTCTATCATGCAGTAATGTATTGTATGTGATGTGTGTGTGTGTGTGCATTGAAGTGGCCACTGTGCAGAGTATAACAGCTAACAGGGTGGGAACACTGATGCTATATTTCAACATATTATCTGATAGCAAAAGAAACATTTTCTTACGCACTTGAACCGCATCTGATAGAAGTATCATTTTTATTACACTTAAAATGGTAGTGAATCCATTTTTATTATATTATATTATATTATATTATATTATATTATATTGTATTGTATTGTATTGTACTATATTATATTATATTATATTATATTATATTGTATTGTATCGTATTGTACTATATTATATTATATTATATTATATTATATTATATTATATTATATTATATTATATTGTATTGTATTGTATTGTATTGTACTATATTATATTATATTATATTATATTATATTATATTATATTATATTATATTATATTGTATTGTATTGTATTGTATTATATTATATTATACAGGGCTCGAAATTAAACTTATTGCTTGGTAGCAATGGTGCTCTTAACATAAAAAATTTAGGCGCATCAGCCAAAATTAAGTCGCACTTATAAGCACTGTTACTACAAGTTTTATAGAAACATATTAATTGCATTTGAAATCAACATTAATCAAACTAACAAGCAAAAAAATATGTATGCATGCGTGAGAAAAATATGTCTCAACGAAATCCCGTTATCACAAGAAAATAGATTTTTTTCACATAACTAAGTGACCAAAAGGTACATGGAGCGCTTCCCGGCCCTGCACGCACTGCTTGACATGAATGAATCTGTTAACGATATAACTGTGCTGTTCTTACGGGTCGTGTCTAATATTGCACTGATGTTTTTGACGTATACTGTACCTTATTATGTGCATACTTCATATTAATAGCAATACTTTTCATGAGTAGCAATATTAGTTTAGTCAGTGTAAGCCTGTTTGCAATGGTGTATGTGGTGTTAAATTATACATATAGCTGCCACTTGCATGGCAGACAGCATCTGGAGAATAAAATAAAGGATTAAACAGAAGCTTTTATGCTAGATGTGGCAAACAGTTACCTGAAAATTACATCCCACAGACTTTTCATAGCGGACTTGAAGCCAACGGAAGTCTTTTATCCACTCTTCAAAAAGTGTAGATGGTGGATTAACATTCAGCACATAATCACTAGTAAGATGTGTCATTATTTGTAACTATAGATGCCATGGTTTCTAAAACAAAATCTGTCAGTGTTATCTTCTTTCTCATTATCAGCGCTCACCTCTTACTATCATCCCAAGCCAGAAGGCATTGACTGAGTGATTGACAGCTGATATTTCAGTGCTAGAGCAGTGGGCCAATAAGAAGAGTGCAAAGGCGGGGCAAGCATTATGGACTTGGCTTTGTTTACTGCAGCAAGTTGACATGACAACCGTTTAAAACCATTCCTGAGCGCTGCGTTTCGCGTTTCAAGTGCAGAGATGCAGGAATGTCTCCCAAATCCGTGCATGTGGTGCAAAATTTTGCGGTAAAAAATGGTCGCACATAACTATTTTTTGTACTCGCACAAATGCACCCAAATATATTTAATATAAGTCCCATTTTTTCCTTCTTTATAATTAACATTTCTTTCAAAACATTTGTGGTTGTTTTAACAGGTCACCTTTGAGCAACACAAGGAGAATCTGGCCCGAATGTTTCTTGAGTACCAGCGAATGGGATCTGAGGGAGGATCTGAAAGCAGGATCCGAACGATCTCTGGAGTCAGCCAAGATTCTCAGTTCCTTGCCTCGGCCAACGGGGAACTGCATACAGAAGAGAAGGCTCCATCTACTGTTATTGAGCTACGTGTAGAGGAGCAGGACAACGATCAGACTGCAGACAATGAGGAGATGCAGACCCAGATCCCTGTCACAGTGTCCAACATTCTGGTCAGAGATGAGGAAGAGAGGCAGACAGACACTGTTGCCACCTCACTGGAGATGCAGGACAGGGATAAGGATGAACAGTACGCTGTAAAAGAACCAAAAAAAGATAATGAAATAAAACATATGGATGACAATCATAAAACAGGGGATGAAGACCGTGAACAAATGGAAAATGTTAAGACTGAAGGTAGAGTTGAAGAGGAGAGCAGTAATCTGAGTATAAAAGACGATACCGACAGCCCACAGACTGAAACTGACAAGAATGCCAAAGATGCAACTGAAGCTGTGAAGATGTCAGATGAAGGTAAAACAAGTAATGCGGAAAATGAGCAAAACGTTCAGGTAGAAGATGAAAAGAAAGATCTTGGAGATTCTACTCTTGAAGCTGTTAAGGAAGATTCCACTCAAAAGTCTTCTGAGGTTTTAGTCCATGAGGAAACCAGCACGACTGGGGCCTCTGTTGTGAATGAAGATAGCACTGATGTTTCCTCGGCCAGCAACTTCGTGAAAGTCAGTGATGACAGCACAGAGGACTCTTCATTTGTGTCTGCTACAACTGGGGAGACAGATGACCATGGTGTTGAAAGGGAAGACGGTGGAAAGGAGAAGGAGAACAAGTCTGAAACTGATAAAGATGAAAAGCTTATGGAAAATGAGAAGACTGTGGGAATCCAGGATTCACCAGCCCCCATGGTGGAAGTGGATTTAAACCAAAGCTCCTCTCCTGAGGAGACCAAGCCTCAGACGGAGGGTCATGGAGATGTTGAGGCAGAGCAAACAACAACAGAACAGAAGTCTAAAGCAGAGGTTAGCTCTAGTGCTGAGAGTATCTCACAGGATGCAGCAAATAACCAAGACTCTCCGAAGGTGGCAGGGACTGACAATACAGCAAATAAAACCAAAGAGATTAAAATAGCTAGGCTGGATGTGTCAAGTGTGGCCTCAGACACAGAAAGACTGGAACTGAAGGACACCTCAGCGACAGTAAGTTTGGCAAAATGAAAAACCAAGACATTGACACAAGTTGATAATTACAGATAATCATTATATGCGAATGAACACATTTTATTGGAAACTCAAGATTCTTTATGATGCAAGACAAGTTACAAAAGACAAGTGCTAAAATAATAAATGCCTCTTTTGCAGAACCCGAGTGCAAATCAAGCTGCTCCCACAAGCCCTACAGGTCAAAGCAATGAAGGTTCATCTTCGGCTCGATCTACTATGTTCCGTATCCCTGAGTTCAAGTGGTCTCATATGCATCAGCGTCTTCTGACTGACCTGCTGTTCTCCATCGAGACAGACGTGCAGATGTGGAGAAGGTGAGAGAAAACAATGAACCAAAGAAGATCAAATAGACAAAGTGATGTTCTTAAATCAAAGTCCAGTCATTATCACAGGCTTTCTTTTTAATTTGACTCTTGATTTGAGTCATTGGATATATAATACAAATGATGTTCTTATTTTTAAAATAAATTGTAAAAATCAATAAGTGATATTATGAGCCGCACACATGAATATTTAATTATAATATTCATATAATATTTAATAAAACCGAGCACGTCTCTCTATTTTAGATGTGTACAATAAGTAGTCGGTAGGCTTGGGTATTGATAGAAGTTTATCGATTTTGATTGTATTTCTGATTCCTCTTATGAATTTCAACTCTTATTGATTCCTAGTTGCGATTTCATTGTAAAAAATAAAATAAAATAAAAGGTAATTTAGGCGCTGTTCACAAAGGAATTCGGGTTAGTTTTATTGATCTGATCACATATCAACAGGTAACAATTTACAATAAGGTTGTTTTAGTTAATGCTAATTAATGCGTTTATTAACATGAACAAACAATGAACGATACATTTATTACAGTATTTGTCCATGTTTGTTTACCTTAGTTAATAAAAAGTTGTTCAATATTAGTTTAACTCACAGTGCATTAACTATTGTTAAAAAGCGTCCAATTCGGATTTTAAAAATCCATTGGTAAATCTTGAACTATAATTAATAAATGCTGTACAAGTTTTGTTCATTACTACAGTAGCTTAAACTAACTGTTAAACTAAAATGCACAACACTTGCTGGTTGCACCCTTGATGCACAATGAATCTGACACGGTGCATTCTTTTAATTTAATGTTTGGGAACCAACCGAAGATGCTTTTTCATGTTGGTCGCGACACCCTACGTGCAACTTTGCCATGGTTTTTCATCTCATGTAGCCCTTTAAACACGTTGCAGTTCATCTTTAAACTAATGTTTAGATTATAGCTTATTTAAGGTGCTCGCCAGTGTGGAAGATTCTAGCAGATTGTCAAGTGAAAAATTTTAATGTGCGCACATACAGGAATCAATAAGAGGAATAGAAATTTTTATTTTATAACAAGTATCCGATTCTTAATCTAAGTATTTCAGAATCAGAGTATTTCAGAATCAGAACTGATTTAGTACTTACGGTATGAAATGTAAGAAATAGAAAATAAATAGAAAAAGATAGATTCACAGTGTTTGAGAATCATTACTTTATCAAGCACATAAAAAAATCTTTTTTTTTTGGCCACCCCAATTTAATCCACATGACTGGGAATTTGATTTGAGGGAATCATTTTCCTATACATATTTTGGATCTTGGGTTGCTGACATTGGGTTGGTTAGTTTAACTTGCTACATTGACCAGCATAACTTTTTAAACACATTGCTACAGTATTAACAATATGCATCTCATGACAGCTCAGTTTTGCCATCATTTTATCAACACAACCATAGGTTATTGTTCCTAGATATCAAGTTATCTAGAAATTTTGAATTACAGTATCAGTATTTTGATCAGCACCTCTTGAGCTTCATTAAGGTGCTTCATAAACGTCAATCGTTTTTAATTGATCATTTTAGAATTTAGTTATATTATAACTTTTTCCCACTTCTCCCCACAGTCATTCAACTAAGACAGTCATGGACTTTGTGAACAGCAGTGAGAATGTGGTGTTCGTGCACAACACTGTCCATCTCATCTCTCAGGTGGTGGACAACCTCATCATGGCCTGTGGAGGAATTCTTCCTCTGCTTTCTGCAGCTACTTCTTCTTCGGTTAGTATGCAGTTTAAGTTGTGTTGCATGAAGTAAGGGATAAGCAATGCCTTGTCATGCGTTAAAGCATTATAAACGGCAAAGATCCACCCTTATACAACAGTGCTTATACAACATTCTGTGTTTATTTGACAAGTTATAGCCAAGTTACCACTACTATTGCTTTTTGCAACCCAACATTTGAGCATATTTTTGTCAATTAACACACAGACAATTTGATGTCCTTGCTTTTGAAAGAGAGTGTGTGCATGAGAAAGATCATGCACTTGTGTAAATAACACAGGCATATCTTTTTTTCTTTTTCTTTCATTTTTATACATAATTGTTATTTTATTTAATTATATACTATGAGTTTTAATCGCTTCTTATTCATATTTAAATCTTTTTTTAACTAGTTTTTATTTTTGTACGATAAAGGTTGTTTTTTCTCCATAATAACCCTTGCCGCCAAAATAAATGAACAAACAAGTTAAAGTCAATTAAAAATAAAATTACAACACAGAAAGGGGAAAAATCCTTTACAGTGTTACAGTATACATTTGCAGTTAGACAATTTCAGTTGTAAAAATTATTTAAATAAATTGATGCCTACACGATAATATGTCAAAAGCAGTGTGCTACATATGTTTGGAGTCAAACAATAGTAGTGATCACATTTAAACATGTGTACACCAATTTTTTTAAAGAGTCTTCATTTTCTCAATGTATGTGATCTTAGGTTGCCATGTCGCATAAAAGTTTTGGACAGATCCCTTCATTAAATATTTTATTTCTCTAATTTCAAATATAAAACCAGATCGCACATCCACATTGAAGCTTTGGGTGGGGCTGCCACTCAGATTTTTCCTCCTTGATATTTAAGTAAAACAGGTATATCTAATAGCTCATAGTAACAGGTTTTAGCTGCCTCTATGCAATTTTTAAAAATAGTTTTATGTATACACCTGTCACTGAGTAACTATGGTTACTACTAATGTCTGAGCATAGCTAAACTTTCTTGAACTATCATCAAACCTGATACTACCTGTACATTAAACGGTTTTATTGCATACCCTCCAGCCAATCAGAATTAATAATTTCAGCAGATCAAGAAATAAAAGCAAATATGACCCAATATACTATAGAATCAGTGAAAATGTCTACATTGGATATGTTGGCTCAGCTCTACATGTTAAGTCGCTCACAGTAAATGGATAAACTGTTTTGTCTTCAAATCTTCCTACAGTGTGGCACAACACAGTGCCAGTCATGTTCATTGTAGATGTGTTGTCCTATGCAACAACATTTCCTTGCCCCAGATTGTTACAGTCACTGAAGGACAGTTATGCCATTCAAGTTAATCAAGTTACCTATTTTACACCAAGTACCGTCTGGCTTGACATCAGTTTAACTATTTTCGAAAATTCAACAATCTGTACATGTAGACAACACAAGGAAGCCTTGACATTTCTCCAGTGTTTCTATTCTATTCCATTGTACTACAAAAAGCTGACAAATCAATAAGATTAATAGTTTGGTGACATTTCTAGAGCTGCTACTGTTTACTTACTTGCTTACTAAAGCAAAGTCATAGTGCTGCTCACTAAGTGACGATGAATAGCAGAGGAATTTTGTCTGTTTGAAATCATGTTGATACAATTTGCTCTGCTTATTTCTGACATGGCTCTTTGTGTCCCGGAGTAACCTGGTTAACTAAGGTATTTTTGATAGTTCATACAGTTAAACCTACAGTTAAATGTTCATTTTTAAAGAAGATTTAAAAGAAAATAATTGTTTTAATTATTAGTTTCCAGTAACTAATTTTATTAACTTTGCCATGAGGACAGTATATATTATCTTACAAGTTATTTAGCTAGATACTAAAATTCTGCTTAGGATGCAATTTAAGTAATAACTAGGTTAATTAGGCAAGTCATTGGACAACAGCGGTTTGTTCTCTTGCCAAACTAAAAAATAACATTTTCTACAGTAAAAAAAAATAAAATAAATAAAAATAAATAAATAAATAAATATGTATAGGGCACACTGTTACCAATTCCTTGGTATGTTTGATTAATTTAAAGACTTAAACTTTCACAGGATGGCTAATAATTTTGTCTTCAGCTGTACTGCATCCATTCAATCTCTTGTTGCACTTAAGAAGTCTCATTAAAGAAATAAAATACTGACCTGAAACCCTTTGATGGGCACATTATGGCATAATGAAGATGGGAAGCTTGGATTTAGAGTAATGGTGATGATATTGATGACTCTTGTCTTGCAGCATGAGCTGGAGAACATCGAGCCGTCTCAGGGTTTGGCTGTGGAGGCATCACTGATGTTCTTGCAGAGACTGATCAATCTTGTGGATGTGCTGATTTTCGCCAGTTCACTCAATTTCACTGAAATCGAAGCAGAGAAGAACATGTCTTCAGGGGGAATCTTAAGACAATGTCTTCGCCTGGGTAAATCACTCTTGTTTCTTGTTTAGTAGAGTTTGCTAAAACCAGTAGTCTGCTTTGTGGAAAGTCTGTGTATTTTATTTCATTTGATATTTTCTCTTGACACATTCATTGAGGTCTACTCATTTTTCATATTTCTTTACTTAAATGTTTTTTTTGTGTTTTCAGTGAACATGGTTATCAGTAGGGCCAGACAGAATCTAGGGGCATTTTTTTGCCATTTCTGCTGAGAATTTTGTAAAAAATCTGCAGATTTCTGCAGAATGATTTTAGGAGTCACATAACTAAAAACACAATATTTTACACACATGCATGTATCTGAGAAAATGTTTATTTATCTTAAGATATAAAATGTATGAAGAGTTCAAATGCAAAAATGTCTAAATGCCATCTGAAATTTTCTACTAAAATAAGCATCTTTCTCAGCCTCTAATACTTTTGTACAGCTATTTCACTTTAAAGGCAATGCAAGGAACCTATTTTTTGCTATAAAAGTGGATTTATACATACACACAGGAGCTGGCCAAAATGGCCATTTTAGAAGAAAATTTCAGATGGCATTTAGAGGTTTTTCATCTGAACTCTTCATATATGTATATGATGCAAATTATTTATCAATTTAAATATCTATGTAACAAAGCTGTTTATATATATATATATATATATATATATATATATATATATATATATATATATATATTTTTTTTTTTTTTTTTTCCCTGTACTGCTCACACCGTTTTTTCTCCATCCCTTGATCATTTTAAAACAATCAATTTTCTTTCTTAACCTGTTCCTCTTTCTCACTCTCTATTTTTTTTAAATCCAAACTCCCTGATGGGTAATCAGCGTGCGTTGTACATTAAAAGAGATAGCATGTTGATAAGTTAAACATCTGGAAGACTGAGACAGCCCTTTTTGCTCAATGATTTCTCTCCATTGGCTCATTTAGTAGACATAATAAGTGTTTTTTCCCCTACATCCCTGCCCCTGTGTCTCTCTGTTGCTTTGTGAGTTCTCTAATAGTGTTATTATAAGCTCTCTCCACACTGCAGTGCTCTAAAATGAGGACCGTCATCAGGCCATTGACTCTAATGGCTGTTTTGTAGCCTGAGGCACCTCCTCCTTTATGTGTCTATGTATCACAAACGCTACTGCAGTGTTATAGAGCACATAGCAGAAATCCAGCCGTTCAGATTGCTTACATTATTCATTTCTCTCTCTCTCACACACACACACACACACACACACACACACACACACACACACACACACACACACACACACACACACACACACACACACTCCACATGACCCTCCCTGAAGCCATCTAGTCACCATCAAATTCCCTCTTCTCTAAATATAACACTTTTCCACTCTACTACCTCTCCGCTTTGCCACATCACCTCTCTCGCCAATGTAACACCCAAAGCCACCGAACAAAATGGCCGGTGTGTTAAATCGATTCGACAGTGCGCAGCGAAGGCAGGGCGGCGCTTCCTGATTGGTGGAGTGAGAGAGAAACTGAAACCTGTTTTTAGGAGGGCTGAAAGTATAAAATGAATATTTGATGAGCTCTGCCAGTGTGTAATCTGATTTGGGGTCTGTAACAAGGTTTCACCCGCCATCTCTTTTTCTGTTACCGGCTTTCTCTCTCTCTCTTTTGCTCAAATGACTTGAACGTCTAATGGAAAAAGCTGGTCGTTTCCAGCACTGGAATAATACCTTTAATCTAAGCGTCTTGTAGTTTACATTTGTCAGTTGTCAAGGTATGAGAGGTTAGAGGGTTAGTCATGCACATGCACAGTCACGCATACACATTATTGTGCAGTTCAGACTCATGTGCAGTACATTAAAATCAAAACGCGCATACACTCACACGAGCAAATGCACCATACCGCTCTTGCATATAGCATGCAATACATCAAATTAAATGCAGTAAGAGGATTTTTCTGCACCACGGTGGGGGAACCCTGGCCAAAATTATTAAACAGAATAAGCAACGTCATCTGTTTTTCAAGCCTCATACAGTTAAATGCGTTTTTCCTTTTTAACGTTTAATGTAGTTTTTTATGTGCTTGTTATGTCTAGAAGGACTGCCCCTTGTGCTTTCAGTGTTTCTGTGTTTTTGTTGATTAATTAATGCATGCCTGTGCATTTTTTTGTGTTTTTGCCAAGTAGAAATCAATAAAAATAAAGTGTTATAATACTGTTTAGTGTAATTCTTATCTAATAAAAAAAATAATAAAATAAAAATAATATATATGATGTTTAACATTAGTTTTTGTTTTAATTTGTCTAAAATAATATTGGCTATTATTATTATTATTATTATTATTATTATTATTATTATTATTATTATTATTATTACTATTACTATTGACAATATATATATGAAAATAACTGTCATTTATTTGTCATCTTTTGTTAAGGAATGAAGTAAGTGTTTACTGCCTAGGGCTGGGCAATTAATCGTAAAGTAATCAAAATTCAGAACCTGTACAATACTGTGTGTGAAGCCACGTGACCCTGTTCTATTAAGGCTGTTTTAAACTTCTGGTCTAACGTCTAACGTCTGGTGCAGCCTTTGCGCAGTCACATACCTGAGCACTTTAAAAAAAAATGTAACTACACGTCAAACGTTTACGTAACGTTAAAGATTATTGGAAGCTGCACCAGAGATGCACTGTGATGGCATATTTTCTATTACAATAAAAATGTTATCTACATAAAAAAAAAAAAAAAAATTTTTTTTACAGAGGATTCAAGAAATTCTCTGTTTATAATATTATTTACAGGATTTACAAGAGTTGTTTTCTTCAGAAGAGAGACTGCTTATTTTCTACTTTTAATATGGAAAACATTAAAAATAATTAATTTTGTTTACAAAAGTGCAAGGTATTGTATTCGTGACTGTTAGTTTCAGGCAATGTGTGTTTTAACTTCAGTTGTTCAGCCTTAATGTTCAATAAATAATTATTGATAGTTCATAGTGTGCGTTTTATTTAATTATTTTTAAAGTTAAGTCATGCTTTCTTATTTAAAAATCTTTCACCAGTAGTATGTGAGCTTATTTACTGTACAAAACTTATCAGTGAACTATGAGGGCAAATAAATAAATAAATAAATAAATGAAATTATTGTTCATGAAATTATTATTATTATTATTAGTTTTTGTTCATTCGTAATCGAGTTAAAATCTTCAATTAATTGAGATTTTGATTTTAGGCCAAATTGCCCATTCCAATTACTGGCATTTTTCCATCAGTTTATTTATTTATTTATTCATTTATTTATTTTTGCAGAAAAAATAGATTTTACATTTTAAAAATATTTTTATCCACATAATTTGTGCTTTAGAGATTGTGTGCTTTTAGGCTTAGACAATGAAGTCTGTGGGCTCTATTTTAATGATCTAGGTACAATGTCGAAAGCGCAGAGAGCAAAAGCATTAAGGCCATGTCCAAATCTACTTTTGCTATTTTAAGGACTGAAAAATATGCTCTGACCCGTGCCGCATGGTCTAACAGGGTTATGCTAATTCTCTTAATGAGTTCTGGGTGTGATTTGAGAATAAACCAATCAGAGTCTCATCTTCTATATTTAATTTCATTTGTTAAGCGCAAAGATTTGTTTCAAAACTGAAATTCAGTTTTAATTTTCAGCAAATGAATAAATGAACAATAATAATGAAGTGTGGTCAAAGTTATATACAAATACGCATGCTATGCCCTATATGGTCCAAAACCTGACAAGTGGACAAATCTAATTTTGTTTTTAATAAAACAAATATAAAGGCATATAATAAATAATACAAATAATAATACAAAAAATTATAACATTATACAAAAGCAATTTACAGTGAATAAACTGAAAAAAAGCCTCCCGAGGTGAAGGAGGCAGTGGTTTTGATATATTTATATAGAATTTATTTTGTAATTCTTTTTCATTTTTAAAGATATTTGTGCATTGCTGTACATCGTGTGAGAATTAAGCAATGTGCAAAGTCTGCAAACACATCTTGCGCCTTATTGCACCGGTTGTATGATAGGGCCCTGACCCTGTCTCCACTTTATATTATGATTTTACATATCAGAAGGACTTTTTTAGTAGAATGATGGGTTCAATGCAATAGATTTGCGTCGGGAAATCATGAAGGAATTAAGTTGGCTTAATGGTTTTTACAAATTTTAGTGGGTTGAACATATAACAGTTAAGTTAACCCCCCCCCCCATCTTGCAAAAAAAAACATAACAAGAATTGTGTTGTTTCAGCTCATTTTAAATACGTACTGTAGTTTAACAAACGGCAAACATTACTCTTTGATTGTATTCGTGTTATAAGAAACTGCATACCACAGTGCACCAACCTAACTACTGCGTAGCAAAACCAAAAACAAAAAAGCTTTTTTTACTTATGGCGTTCCAGTTTTTACTGGTTTTGCTTATAAAAAAAGTTTTTGAAAGCCCTTCTCTTTGTCATGCTACAAGCTACTCGTATACGTCATGTTTTAAAGTCTATATATCTTTAGATTCTGCCTTCCTTTCATCTCTGTGATGATGTCTTTTTCCTCTGTATTTCTAGCTCTCGGTTGTGCTTTCTCATAGTCTCTGTCTGTCTGTCCCTCTCTCACACTCTCTCTCTCCCCCTCAGTGTGTGCGATGGCTGTGAGAAACTGTCTGGAATGTCAGCAGCACACTCTGAGTAAGTCTGGTGCAGAGAGCAGCCGCGGACAACAAAGCCTTCTGGGAGCCGCCAAGTCTATACCAGCACAGGCAAGTTCAACATCATGCCAAGGATACCTCTCTGTCACTCTGTTGTTTTAGTAGAACTTTTTGGTCAGTGAACCAGGGTTTGACTTTTCTAAGGTCCAAAATTATGATTTCCTATTTTTGCGCTCAATTTTTGTCAACCACATCTACACACTGCCTCTAAAGCTGGTGTCTGTCATAAAATAGTTTGGATCAGGTTCTGTATATTTCATATCCTTAACAAACATTTTTGCCCAAATACAAAAAATCTGTCATCTGTCAATTACTCATCCTCTATTGTAAAAGAGACCAGTTGAAAAACAGTACCTATAAGCTATGTTTCCATCCAAAAATGCGAATTAACTTTATACGCAGAACTGGATTATCTCATGAAAAACGTGCGAATAAAGCAGCGTTTCCATCCAACGAGTAATGAAAATAAAATCGTCACTTCCTGATTAACTGGCGCCAAATATCAACAGTAAAAACGAAATTTGCTGCGGTAAGAGAAGCTGTGTGAATCTTTTCTTCATTTAATAAATAACTTGCACCTCAAAAGGCAATCCTGACACGCAGTGAACATGCGGTGGTGTTTAAAGGTGTGAGATGCGGAGCACAGCAGGACCTATTAGCTTCAGCTTCTTGATTCAGTAGGTCATTAATAATATAATAACACTAATACTGAAACGGTAATGCATTTTGGAATGACCAAAACAACATTTCTGATGTTTTACTATGTGCTCAGCCTGCTGGATTATCCATTCACACATATTTTTATCATCACATGATCTCTTTTAATGCACATACTGGAATTTGTTTGGTAAAAGTGTTTCCATCGTAGTTTTTGCACGTTTTTTCTTATCGAATAAAAAGTTTGATGTGCATCTTTAAAACTTATCACATCTTGGTGTTTTCATCAATCATTTTTTAATGTGCATATTTAAAATGTGCATAAAAACAGGTGGGTGGAATTCTAACTATTAACATTCATGGTAATTTTTTTTTTTTTTATTACTATGGATGCTTTTGGCTTGCGGTTTCCACTTTTTTCAAAATATCATCTTTTGTGTTAAACAAAGAAACACATAAAGGTTTAGAAACACATGAGGGTGAATTTTCATTTTGAGGGTACCATCCCTTTAATGTGCATCGGACACAGAGTGTACTTTTTTTTAAAAGATGATTATGAAAATAACAACCATAAAAATTTTAGACTGAACGTGCAAGGACAATTCTCATCTGCAAGTTTCACATGTTAAATAATAAATATGACCTCACGTTGTGTCAATCACATTCACACTCTGCCTCCGAAACTTTCATTCATAATAAAACAGATTTTTAACGTTTTCCTAAAATCAGAGCCACTGTTTGGGAATTTGACTACAAAGATAGTCACTAGCAAAACATCAAACCAAGCCACACCGTCCTTCCTCTCTATGCTATCTCAGAATCGATGGACCCAATATTTCCTTTTTTTTGTTTTTTAAAAAAGTACAAACTAATCATCCTCACTGGTTAAAGACAGTTTGCAGTTTTTGTGTCAATCAAGGTCGATGTGAAATCACAATTTGCTGTTTACTGTGCTAGTCCACATTGTAATCTTTAGGTAAAAGCGGTTGATCCTTGCAAGTTAATTAACTTAAACTTTGTTTTGTTTTGGTAATATTCAGTCAAATTTGACCATCTGCTTCAGTGTTAGGAGCGGTGGCTCTTCTCTGCTGACTTCATTTTGACAGCTTCAGCCACAATATTCTTAACCTCACCCTTACCGTTTACTATGAGGAAATAATGTGCAAAAAGAAAGCCCCACACACTACTTACTATTCAGTTTTGCTTGGAAGTACATTAACACCCTCCAGCCCATGAACGCTTACTCACTGAAGCTAAGCGGGGCTGAGCCTGGATGGGAGTTAGGGTTGGGTCGACAGACCATGTCATTGTCCATCGCCGATGGTCAATAGACAACACTATGCTGAGCCAGCACCGCCAATCCTCCGCCCCGCCCCTGTCCCAAACCCGCTCACGAAAAATACACACATACAGGCCCCGTTTACACTAATACGTCTCAGTGTTAAAATGGCATTTTAGAACGAAAATGATACACATCCACACCGTGTTTTACCTAGCATTTCTAAACAGCCCTCCGTCCGCTGAAAATGCACATCACGTGACCACACACACATACACAGCCTCACACATACATAGCCACACACTCCTCTGAGCTCCAAAGAGCAGTGCACGTGGGACAGTTTATCAAGGATGTACCGCTGGATTGCGTCTCACTATATTTGGTAAACCTGATATTCAGACATATATGATATAACCTGATATAAACCTGATATTCCCAAGTCTCCCAGAAGTGATAATCTCCCGGAAATCACGCGTTTCCCTACCGGTCCTCAAATAAGTCATGCACCCTTCTCACCGCCGGATCCCTCCTCACTCTTCAGACACGTTGCGCACACTCTATCACCCCCCTTTTTCACATGATGACGATGCCATCGTTCATCGCGATGTTTTACATTTGACATCATACAATGCCGAATTGGTCGACATCGCTCAACCCTAATGGGAGACCACATGGGAAAACTAGGTTGCTGTTGGAAGTGGTGTTAATGAGGCCAGCAGGGAGTGCTCAACCTGTGGTTTGTGTAAGTCCTAAAGCCCCAGTATAATGAAGGGGACGCTATACTGTCAGTGAGCGCCGTCTTTCGGATAAGAGCCGATGTCCTGACTCTCTGTGGTCCCATGGCACCTCTTGTAAAAAGTAGTAGTATAATACAGGTGTCTCTGCCAAATTTTCTCTTCATCAGCCTTTACCCCGACATAGCCTTCCAATCATCCCCATCCACCAAATTGGCTTTATCACTGTCTCTCCACTCCACCAATAGCTGATGTGTGGTGAGCGCACTAGTGCTGTTGTGCTGTGGCTGCTGTTAAATCATCCGAGTGGATGCTGCACAATGGTTGTGGACTGGACAGATTGTGAAGTGCTTTGGGGTGTATGGCCATGCACGATAAATACGCTATATGAATACACATTACATACTGATATAAAAGTCTCAGCAACTATCAGTTCACACAGATTTTAAGCACAATATATTAATATGCATTAAACTCTGTCTAAGACTAGATGATGCATACAAAAAAACATACAGAAATGTCAAACTCACTGTACAAGGACATTTATAGTGCTATATAAAAAAACACATTTCCTCCTGAAAGTGTTGTGTAACCTACACTCCACACTCATCCATTATTTAAAATCTTTTTAAAACTGTTGTTTTAATGCCTCTGTGCTTCAGCTCAGTCTGAATCTGGAACAGCAAACAAAACACTCGCTAGATTTTACAAAGCCCAATTGATATAAAATATTAGAGCAGTGGAAAATGTATTTGAAAAAAAAAAAACAACAACAACACTTGTGCTGCGCTGACAGACTGAATCAATGCATGTGAACAGTATTTGTGTATGTGTTTATTGCAGAGTCCTGTGGACATTGTGACTGGAGGGATGTCTCCTATAAGAGATTTAGACCGGCTTCTGCAGGACATGGACATCAATCGTCTGCGTGCTGTAGTGTTCAGAGACATAGTGAGTCTCTTCACTCAGTGTTTGTGTTCCCCTACTGTATCTCTCACTGGCTCTGATCTGCAGTTTATGTAGCTAATGTTTCATTTATTTGCTGTAGTCCAGTGAAGCATCATCAGGTGTAGCTCACATGGTACATGGAAAGATTTCAGTTTAGATTATTTTTTAAAACCAATATATACAGTTCAAATCAAAATAAGTTAAATTATAATTGTATATGGATGTCACATGGAACATGGACTTTTTCAAGCAAATATAATGAAATATGTAAATTAATAATGTAGCATAACTAGTTAAAAGGAACACCTTTTTGTTTTGGTTTTGATGGACTACTTGAACAATACTAATAAAAAAGAAAGTATTCTTTATAGTTGATCATTTATATTATGACCTTTATTACAAACACATTAAAACCTTAACCCTGTCGAACCAGTGCCTTAATAATAAATAAAAAAACAGTATATTTACTATCTATAAGCTTGGAATTGGGTTGAATATCTTTTAGGGTGCTTTTTTACTCTCAGTTTGATCAATATACCATACAAATATTATTTGGTAAAATATTATTACGGTAATAAATATATTAATAGTTTGAGGGTTCAAAGCTATGTTTATTTTAAGTAATTTTTGTAATGATTTCAAAGCTTTTCTTGTCTTTTTGACAAATGTAATGCATCTCTGCATTCAATGTTATAATAATAGTGAGTATTAAAACTTTTCTGGTAATAAAAAATGATGAAACTGAAGCATTCAACTAATGTGTACATTATTCTAACATTTGTAATTGGTTTTGTTGTGTGCTGCGCTTTAGGAGGACAGTAAACAAGCTCAATTTCTGGCACTGGCAGTGGTCTACTTCATCTCTGTCCTCATGGTGTCCAAATATAGGGACATTCTGGAGCCACACAATGACAGAAGAAACACACAGCGCTCACAGTCAGTCAGGAGCACAGGTGACCATCATTATTGAACCTAAAAAACCTACCTAACAACTTTACATGCATGCAGTGTTTTAAACCAAGGACTGTTGTGTTTTTTTCTACAGAGAGTGTTCAGTCTGATCTGGAGAATGGTTTGTCTCCTCTTCACCGGGACTCTGGGATTGAGGATGAGAAGGCCTCAGACATCCAGAGTAATGTAAAAGCGCAGACTGGCCCTGATGCTGTATCCGAAGCTCTGTCTACTTTGTCCGATGAGGTCAGGAGAGGTCAAGAGGACAGAGACAGCAAAGGAAAGAATGTCAATGTCAAGGATATTCTGAGAAGTCTCGTTAGCGCACCCTCTGATGACATCATGGTGGACCCCAGTCTTATACCGCCTGGGTTTCTGGGTGCTGTGAGCGAAGCCTCCCGTGACCAGTCCATCCAGTTCCACTCGTTTGATAGGTAAGTGGCCAAGAAATTGACTGTGCCTCTTTGAATATGAACATACATTTTGTTGTGCACAACAATCTGTTGAAAATCTTTTTCGCTGTAATTTGCTAACTGTAGAAAGGTGTTTTTGCTCTTTGTTGCAAAATATTTGTCCAAATTTACATTAGCTATGACGTTAGATCTTCCATTCCCTGCTTTGAATCAGTCCCACTCAGACAGATAGAGAGCTTGCACAAGTGAGAAATTGTATGTGTGCGTTTAGTGACACAGTCATATCTAATAGCTCATAGTAACATGTGTTAGCTACCTTTTTGAAAATATTTTTAAGCATCTTTGCAAGTTGGTTGATCCCTGGAAAAGTACATAGGAATGAAGGCTTCGGCAATCGTTACTACTAATGTTTGAGGTATGTGCATATTATTCCACAGCTTTCAGCCAATCAAAATCAAGAATATTCATAGAGTAACAATCCATGGAGTAACGAAAAACTTAGAGATCAGGGAATGGGAGAAAAATGTTTTGTTAGAATCCTGGTCAAGGACGTAACAAAAAAAAAAAAAAAAAAAACTGGACAAATGAAAATCACTTTTAAGAACTCTTGGAGTCGGTCCATTTATTTGTCTTTTTTACATCCAAAATGTGAAGCCAAATACCTCAAAGAGGACCCACAGAAAAACAATAAACTAGAAGGGCATCCGCTGTGTAAAACATATGCTGGATAAGTTGATGGTTCATTACTCTGTGGCAACTCTTGGTTAATAATAGATATATAAATAAGCAAACTGAAAATTTCACACACACTAAAAAGGAAATACACAATCAAAAATAACTCTTGCAACTATATATCCTTTCTATAACAATAAATACTAAACCACATGCCAACCAACTCCTTTGCTTTACGCCCGTTTCACTTTTTAAAAGACGCCGTGGGTGACTCCAGCCAATCCCAGGGCAAGTCGCTGGTGCAATTAGGGCGGAGCCTGTGGAGAGGGAAAGACCAGGAGAGAGAAAGAGAGAGCACTCGAGGAGAGGGGAGAAAGAGACGCACACACACACACACACACGCACACACACACACACACACACACACACACACACACACACACACACACACACACACACACTCATGAGTGTGCATGGGTATTTCCCAGTGATGGGTTGTGGCTGGAAGGGCATCCGCTGCGTAAAACATATGCTGGATAAGTTATCGGTTCATTCAGCTGTGGCGATCCCAGATCAATAAAAGCACTAAGCCGAAAAATAAAAGATAAAATAAATGAATGAAGTCCATGATAATGATTTCATGACTTTCAAAAAAAAAAAGAAATTGTGTGAGACTGATAATTGCAGCCAGAAGAGAGAACAATGTAACATTTACTGTCTATTTAGCCCATAGACACTGCATTAGAAACACCTCATGTAAGCGTTAATTACAGTAGTTCTTTATGTAACTCTTTTGGAACTACTGTAGCTGCGCATATGCTAAAAATAATGGTTCATCACCTAATCAGAATCAAGGATTCAGCGGCCTGTGACATGCAAAAAATGTTCACTGGCCAATCTGTGAACACTTATGCACATTCTTTACAAGCTTAAGGGGTTTAAAAGCTTTTAAGTTTTTTCTTCTTATCTGGGTGTTGTCTTCTTGCCCATTTTGTTCTGCCTTCATGTAAAAAACAAAAACAAAAAAAAAAGCATGTTTTCTTTTAGTGTGCAGTATGGCAGCAGTTTGTGTTTGTTTTATGATGGACACCTCCGCAGAGCGTCTGACTTCTGCTGTGAAAGCGTGCCGTTCTGCACACAAACAAACAGCCTTACAAAAGCAGAGCCCATCAAAACGCGCCTCAGGAGACACGCGCACATCCACTTGTCCATTCCTTCACCACTGAAATTGTGTCTGTATTTGCTGGTTTGTCTGTGCGCAGAACTATTTATTTATTTTTTTAAGAAAAAAAACAAAACTGTGTGGTTGCACTATTGTTTGTCTCATCTAACAAGGCTGAAACTATGAATATATCTATGACATATTCTATAAATGTGGGAACCAAGAACTCATTTTTAGCAGTTTCTATTCTATATGTAATGTTTGAACTGAATCTACTCTGCACAATGTCCGATTCTCAAGTTAATGATTCAATCATCCTTGGTCAATGATTAGTTTATACTATTTATGGGCAATATTGTCCTCCTACGTTGATTTCTATGTCATTTATTTTAGTTTAGCTTAGTTTTGTGCATTTGAAAGGTTTAATAACTACTTTATTTATTGTTTTTTTGTATTTTTTCTGCTAAAATAAAATTCTTAAGATAGGTTTATAAAATATGCAGTCATTAGGGTTAGAATTATTTACACCCATGGCAAATTCTGACTTACAGTTTTGTTCAAATGTAAATAAAAGCTGAATTGTCTTATAATCATTTAGGACAGTGGTGTCCAAGTTAGTTCCAACCCCAATCAGACACACCTGGGCTAGCTAATCAAGCTCTTACTAGGCTTTCTGGAAAAATCTTTTCAGGTGTGTTGAGGCAAGTTGGAGCTAAAATCTGCTCGACACTGGCCCTCCAGGACCGAGTTTGGACACCCCTGATTTAGGAGAAGCCTGTGTCTTTTCCTGGAAAAAACAAAACAAAATCTTGCTCGTTGAATAAAAGTAATTTTAATTCAGAATTTGCTATGGCCATTTTGGGCTCGACGGTCTGTTTAAAAGAAATTGCAATATTATAACAAAAATCATTGTTGAATATTTGGGTCTTAATATGCAAATCTGATTAGCAATATTGATTTATACATATTAAAAACCATTTTGTTTTTAGTAGCAGATAGTATAGTACCAGACAAACATGTCTGGTTTAAACAAGAATTTTTGTCATTAAGCAGTCAAACACTGGAGGATAGTCTGAACACCTCTGATTGGCTATTGTGTTGATAAGCACTGCAGTAATCTTTGTTTGGTTATAATGCAGCTTAGCACTGAATAAAACAAAGTGAAGAAACCTGATGCAGCTTGCTCAAGTGTAATGCTTTGAATTGACACTTTCCATTTCACTTTAATGGAGACATTCATGATCGATTTAGTTTTAACAAGCAGAGGCAGTGTTTGTCACCTTATCTTGAATATGTGGGACATTTTTTTCTATTTTGGTGTCATTTTTGAGACAAATTCTCCTTAAATTCTGATGCTGGGATATATGGGCTGGGATGACCAAGAATCAGTAAATAAAATCAAAAAATGCATATTGAATTGTAAGGTGTCATTCTGGGTATACGCTTCCACACTAAGGTTGGTATGTGAATAAAACCTTCCATCATTTGTTTAACATATAATCATTGTTTTAATAAGCTATTAAAGGTATAGTACACCCAAAAATGAAAATGTTGTTTTTTCACACTCAAGTTGTTCCAAACCTTTATTAAATTTAATCTGTTAAACACTAAACTATATATTTTTAAGAAAGCTGAAAACCGGTAATCAGCGACTTCCATTGTAGAGAAACAAATTCTGTCCATGATCAAAGTCCATGATTTCCAGTTTCCAACTTACTTTAAAATATCATCTGTAGAAATCAGAAAGAATGTCAAACAGGTTTGTATTAATGAGTGAATGGTGAATAAATAAAAGAACTTTCATTTTTGGGTGGACTGTTAATTTAATGAATTGTTGCTGATTGAAAAAATCTAAATGTACAGTTAAAGTCAGAATTAGTAGCCCTCCATTATATTTTTTTTTATCCAATTTCTGTCTAACAGAAAGGACTTTTTTTCCCAACACATTTCTATACATAATAGTTTTAATAGATAATTTCTAATAACTGATTTATTTGATCTTTATACCATGATGACTGTTCATTGAGGCGTATACTCGTAATTAATATGACGATTTTTATACGTTCACTAGAGGGAATATGTTTAACGTCAGCTCCACAGCTAACTATCAGGCACCTGTAGAGTTAATGTGTTCCAGTAAAATACACACAAATAAAATGGAGCGAGTGCTTTTTAAAAAGCCTTATGGACCTTGAAAAAAAAATAACTGCTTTTATTCTAGCCAAAATAAAACAAATACATTTTTCCCCAGTGGAAAAAACATATGAAATACTGTGAAAAATGTCTTGCTCTTGTAAACATATTTTAGATATATATGAAAAAGAAATAGGAAAAAATGTCAAATTAAACTTACTGAAATGTTGCTAACACAAGCTAAAAAATACATTGCTTTAAAATGGAAAACAGACATCAATGTACCAATTGGATTGTGGATCTCAGAAGTTTGCAACTTTATACCATTGGAGAAGATCACATATTCTTTGAGAGGAAAGGGTGAATTATTTAAAAAGATTTGGAATCAATTTTTGAATTCTATTAAAACAGTACCACATGATTTCATTTGATTTGACAAAATAGTTTGACAAATGGTTTATACTGTATTTCTTCCCTTTTTATTTATTTATTTTACTTATTTATTTTATGTTTGTTTGCTGCTTAGTTTTGACGTTCTGTATTGTTAACTTTTAAAAAAGCTAAATAAAAATATATAATCAAAAAATAAAAAGAAAAAAAAACATAGGAGGGCTAATAATTTTGACTTTAGCTGTATCTTTCTCTCTCCAAACATCTGAACAACAGTATATACAGTTGAAATCAGTATTTTTAAGCCCCCCTTTGATTTTTTTTCCCCTCCCTAAATATTTCCCAAATGATGTTTAGCAGAGCAAGGACATTTTTCACAGTATGTCTGATAATATTTTTTCTTCTGGAGAAAGTTTTATTTGTTTTATTTCGGCTAGAATAAAAGCAGTTTTTAATATATATATATATATATATATATATATATATATATATATATATATATATATATATATATATATATATATATATATATATAAACATTTTAAGATCAATATCATTAGCCCCTTTAAGCTATATTTTTTATAGTCTACAGAACAAACCATTATTATACAAGAGCTTGCCTAATTACCCTATCCTGCCTAGTTAATCTAATTAACCTACTTAA